TCATAGAGTGTCCTTGAGCCCACCTTTCTGTGAGGTCTAAGCTGGGCTCCACTGATGGCTGCTGACTTTTGTGGATTCAGCATAGACCTTTAGCTCACACTCGGCCCCCTTAGGAAGTCTCTGCTTAGGCAACTTCCTTGCCTGGCTATGGTCCTTTCTTATACCAGTTTGGTCTCCTAATATTAGTTCCCTGATCAAAATACATTCCTGACCCCCTAGTCTAATAGGTCTACTCTATGCTTCCTGCACTCTGATCTGCATCTTGTTCCTGCTTCCCTCCCAAGAGACTGGAGGCAACGCTCACTCCGTCTCCCACATTCCCCTGGAGTATCACATGTGTGTGCATGGACACGCATGTGTGTATATGAACATACATACGTGTGTGTGTGTGTGTGCAAGTACTCATGTGTATGTACATATGGAGATCAGTGCATGTTGGGAGAGAGTGCTTGGCTGTTTCTGCTCTTGGTAAATAGCAAGGCTGATGCACAGCTCCTTGACAAAATCTCCTTTCAGGAATATCTGCCATTATATATTAGTTACTTTTATTTTTGCTGAGATAAAATACATTGACAAATGAAACTTAGGACAGAAAGGGCTTATTTTGGTTAACAATTGGCGGGTGCAGTGCATTATGGTGGGAAACTCAAGGGAGCAGGAAGCTGAGGGGCTGGTCCCATTGTGTCCGCGGTCAGGAAGCAGAGAGATGAATGCCGATCCTCAGCTCCCTTTCTCCTTTATTTTTTATTTATTTTTTTGGTCTTTTTGAGACAGGGTCTCCCTGTAGCCCCAGCTGGCCTGGAACTCACTATGTAGACCAGGCTGGCCTTGAACTCACAGAGATCCGCCTGCCTCTGCCTCCCAAATGCTGGGATTAAAGGTGTGCGCCACCACACCCGGCCATGCTTTCTTCTTTTTATTCAGCCTAGGACGTCATGGAATGGTGCTGGCCACAGGGGACATGTCTTCCAGCTTCAATTAACTTAATCTGGATAACCCCTGAAAGGCATGCCCACAGGATTATATCTTGGTGATTCTAGATCCCTCAGTCTGACAATCAGGAGTAACTCTCACACCGGACAAATGGTATTCAAAAATTCATTCTTTGTCTTAAAAGCACATCACAGGAACTGAGCTTCGTCCCTCTTTTTTTTAAAATTATTTATTTAATAATCACATAATTAGAAGAAGCATTTCATTACAACAGCATTGACATATTCAATAACAATTGCCTGAGCTAAGATGCATCTGTTTCAAAATTAGCTGTAAGTTTTTAGGTTTACATTGAATTAATACGGTTATACAATATTGTACTCTGTATAAACCCTATAAGACATAAAATTAAATGAGGTTTTAACCTTTAAAAAAGATCTCCATATCATTATTAAAATACACAATTTCACACAGAAAAATTCATTTTAATGCAATTGACATTAAGATGTTTGCACATGCGTTTCTAATCTCTATATATCTGATTATTACTAGTCACAGTCA